CTAAGAATTCTTTCTAAGGTGTCAAAAGGTATTTTAATTAATGAATTCCCCGGTTTATGGCGATAGCTGCCTGGCTGGTTTCGTGTGAATAAGAAGGATAAACTAAAGGGTCAAAAACTGCTGTGAGCAATCTCCGTTGTGCAACCACTGTTATAACATTGACTACCTTTTAATATTCTATAATCCATACTTCTACTACAAATGTCTACCACAGCGTTCATTAGCTCACATTGCTTTACACTTCCGGTTGGAACATTATTCATAGTGAAACGGTTGAACGCCACAATGAAGTCATCGAACGATTCTTTGGAAAGAAACATAGAGGGCGATCTTTAATCCTCTCCCCTGCATGTCTATGCTGCGTATCTTACTCATGGACATGTTTCGTTCAAGACCTTGCGATCTTCTGCTATCGTGTGTCGTTAGCAGACGTTTGAATGGTTCATTATAGTCATTGCAATCAATTTCGCAGCAAGTGATTGGGGGGCATCATATTACTTTTTATGGAACGCAGTCGCAAGCCATAGCGCTAATTCACCGTTAACATCATTTTCGCCAGGCTGGAATTATGACAAGCATCTTACAACTGTTAAAATATAAAAACTCCTCATCGTACTTAGATACTGCTAGACAGAGAGAGCAGAGCCAATTAAGAAATCGTTATTCACTGCTGCATCATACGTCTGCTTAGAATTGATCACAACTGAACTCGTGGTTGTAAGTAATACTTTAACAGTCTGTAGAGCTCGTTACATTAAAATTTCAAAGTTCTGGCACCGCTTCTCAAAAATAAGCTATCATCGTGGCATTGGCATGTTATGTCACTGCATACACGATGCGTTGGAAACAGCATTGTAAATCTGAAGTAAACCGTTGTTATAGCTATCCATGTGGCAGTGATTTCAGTGTGGTTATTTCAGTAATATGCGGTTTGCCATTGCATAGTATTGCGCCATATTCATCAGTCAGGTAAATTCATAAATTTCAGTCCACAGACAATAAAACAAAAGGAATTAAAGGAAGGTGTGTTGCCGTTGTTACTGTATCATCGATCCTCAGTGTGTTACTGTATCA